TTGTTTACAGTTTGTCGAAGGATTTGGGTCTGCCGGGCTTTCGCGTTGGTGCAATTTACTCCAACGACGACATGGTGGTGGCCGCGGCTACAAAAATGTCGAGCTTTGGATTGGTGTCTTCCCAAACGCAGTACCTTCTCTCGGCGATGCTGTCGGACAAGAAGTTCACAAGAAACTACACGTCGGAGAATCAGAAGAGGCTGAAGCAACGGCAGAGAATGCTGGTTTCAGGGCTGGAGAAAGCGGGGATTAAGTGCCTGAACAGCAATGCGGGGCTGTTTTGTTGGGTGGACATGAGACATTTGCTGGAATCCGACACGTTCGAGTCGGAATTAGCACTGTGGAAGAAGATTGTTTACGAGGTGGGTTTGAACATTTCTCCAGGATCCTCATGCCACTGCACTGAACCGGGGTGGTTCCGTGTGTGTTTCGCCAACATGTCCGAATCCACCTTGAAACTCGCCATTCGGAGATTGAAGTCGTTCGTCGTCGAATTGAGGTCCACTACCACAGGCCAACCCCAATCAAACGACGCCAACAACAACAACAAATTTTGCAAGAACATGATCAAGAGAAAGATTTTCACCAAATGGGTTTTCCGGCAATCGGTTCAAGAAGCCAACCGCAGGCAAGCTGAACGATAGCCTGGTCGTCTCTCTCCATGAACATATTCTTCGTCCAATCTCCAAATTGGGAATTTTTACCTTTTTTTTTTTCCTTTTTTGTTGAAATATCCCAAAGAATTTAATTTAAATATTGTAAAAAGTGCACTCGGTCCCCTGTGGGTGGGATTAGTAGTGGCTTTAATTAATTAATTAATTAAAATATTTCATTAATTACGTCCCTGATCTCTCTCAAATATAATTCAGCTAAACTATAATTGGAATGAATTTTGCAACGTGAAGGATTTTATCATATATGCGATACTATCTCCTAATAATGTGCGGAAACGATATTTGGTTGGCCATGTGACGAATTTTATATTGTATAGGGAGCGATAATAATAATATAATGTATATGGGAATAAATTATATAATGGGATGGCTTGTAAAGGTGGTTAGTGGTGGCAAGGGAAACGGCGCCGTTGGCGAAAATAGCGGCTGAAGACGATGGGGTGTAGTGCCGACATGAGCCAGTTTTATTTGGTCCAGTCGCTGGTTCCCAAAACCGACCTGATCTCAAAAAGCAAAATTGGTGTTGTGTTTGTGTGTAGAGCAAAACAAGGGCAGGCCATGGCCATCCCATTCCCAAGTGGGTTGTTGGTCAGAAGGGAAGACAGTCAAAGGATTGTGTTGGTTTCAATTTCAATGCCCTAATCCCTCCCCACAATCAAACTTTGTCCCCAACGTACAAATCTTGTTTTCCCATAATAGCCTTAAACATAAAATCCCACTCTACCCACTTTTTATTGAATATTTCACATGGTGCCTCTTCATATTACTTTATCAAAATAAAGACATGTAACTGACTATGTAAGATAGATCTGAAAAATTATGCAGATAAATTTCTCTTTAGGACACGTTTTGATAGATTATTTATCTTAAATTTATCATCTCCATCCTAAACTATTATATAAAATCGAGAAATGATATACTGCAAATTTTCATTATTTTATATTATTTTTAGAGATAAACACATATTGTAAAAGTTAAAAAAATGAAAAATAAAAGTTTGGAAAGTCAGCAAAAAGCAAAGGGCGGAGTTTCCTTAGAAGAAACTTAATTGATGATGAAAAGAAAGAAAGGCGAAGGCGATTTGAAGTTTGTAGGGATTTATTAGTTGTGAAAAAGTAAGTTGTCTTATCAAAGAAAAGAAATATGCGGTTCCAAAATCCAAGCCCTGTGGCTGCCGACTTCTCTCAGTCTGCTCTGTGCCCAACTTCTCATGCTGTATCCAATTCCAAACACACAATATTAATTATCTTATATTATACCATTTCCCAATCCCAATCCAATACATTATTCATGCATATATTTGGCTTGTCTTATCCCATTTTAATTCTCCCCTAAGTTCATAGAATTATGACCTCAATTCCCAAATTCAACTCCAACATTATTATTATATATACATATTCTTTGAACTGGTCAAAACCATGCACATAGACAACCTTAATTATAACCTTAGCTTACCTTAATTAGTATATGATTCTAATCCCTTTTTTCCATTTACCCCATCATCCCCTCCACCTCATCCCAATCCATCCTATCATCTCAACTCAATCCTATTTAAACAACAATATCTTTTTCTGAAAGAATTCCTATAACTGAAGCTTGTTGCTTAAACTGAACAACACTGTGATCAACACAAAATCTCATGGTAGATGATACCACAAGGCTCCATGTCTTTAACATGGACTATTTAAACCATAATTAGATAAGGAAAATATTTTATATTACTTATCCCTAATGATTATATTCACATTAGTTCAACATAATTGTGGTAGTTAAACGTCTAGCAAATGAGGAGAATTATTTGATACTATCTATAATCATTATATTTTCACATGCTCGTACCCAATTTATAAAGGGGAGTATCAATGATATTCTAAACTATTAACTGTATCATTTCATGACTTCCTAGTTTTAATTATTGGATATGATTAAATATAATTAGTCTGGTAAAGATCTTACAATATCTCTGTGAATATTAAATCATTAATTATCACCGTTTAAGCATTTGGTGTAGGAATTGTTATTTTTAAATAAATAGTATCGTTACATTATTAATGTCATGGTCGTAGCTTGCAAGATATATATAAATGTATTAGTTAAAAAAAAGGATATATATTATTTTAGTATATTAGGATGGGTGTAAAAGGAATTAAATGGCTGACGTATGTGTCATGTGCTTGTACTAAATAAGCATGCCTACCGACCACCAAATTATTTTATTTCAACTTTCAAACGCCAAAATAGGGAGAGGGGGCGACAATATATTATATATTTCTTCAGTTTTCTTTTTTAATATTTAGTATCTTATATATATATATATATATTCTTTTTTTTTGTTCTTTAAAATTTATCATTTATTATTTTTGTTTTTAGTTTTCAAATATAGGTTTTTGGGATTTCTCTTTTTTCTTCGCTTCGCAGGAAAAAAAAACACTATTCTCGATCATCACCGTCACTACCCTTTTTGTGTTATCACCTAAATTAAAATTTTTAATTATTTTTAGAAAAATAAGTGGGCTTAAAAGTGGGAGCTGTATTTTTATATTACATACTTTAAATTAATTCTTATAAACTAAAACTAAGGAAATACATTTTCGGACGATAAATTTTCTCCGTCCTTTTCCAAAACTTGAAAAAAAAAATGGTTGTCAAATGTCAAGTACCTTCTTTTTTTCTCTACAAAAAGTACCTTATTTTTTCAATCTAAAAAAGGAGGGAAAATAAGAATACAAGACCCTAAAAATAAAATCTTTATCAAACTAAATTTCATTTACTCTAATTGAGGTTTAATTAATTAAAAGCCTGCTTCTATTGAGTAAATAACAAGAATCAGACTATGATATTGACTACAGAATGCTGGTAATTAACAATGTGAAAATGGCTTGCTATATATGACAAAACTTTATCATAAATTTAATATAATTAAAATTTTTGTAGTAGAGTCAACTTTAACTTGAAAGTTTAAATCAAAGAGTTCAGAAAATTTAAAAATATCCCTCGTATCCACCTTCATAAAAGATTCCATGTTAATCTAAACTAAAAAAATAATATACTTGTTAGTGATTCTCTCAACTCAAATGAGTTCGAAGAATATATTTAAAAAAGAAAAAAGAAAAGAAAAGAAAAGAAGGTAGGTATAGGAATAGATAAAATATTGTGAGGAAAGATTGTTTTAATCAATATGAATATAAAATACTTCTAATAAGATATGGAAATATTTCTAATGAAGTTTTCAATTGCATTAGGTGGTGGGGACTATCAAGTTATAAAACATAACATAAAAAAAAAAAAAAAACAAGAGAATTTTGGTCGATCTTTTTGGATGTTTGACTAAATCTGTTTGTGCCTCAAAGCTTTGCCTGGTTTTGGTTGGGCAAATGCTTTATGGTGTGTTTTTCTTTCCCCTTATTATAATATTTTTAGTTAAAAAATTCTGTATATATGAATATTCAAATTAATTAACGGCACAAAAACATGTGATTTGATACTTAAGTTCAACGAGAACACATTGGTTTTCCGCGTAATGGAACCTCTCTCCAATCCCTTTTATTTTTGTTTTATATTTCAAAATCAATTCATATAAACAACCTTTTTATATTGATTTTGGACGGTGCAAAAGCCAATCTCTTTTTCTATTTCAAGAATCTCAATTAAAGAAACCTAATTTATATTTTTATTAATTCAAATATATGTTAGTTCTATATCATAGTTTAAGATAAGTGTTATATTAAAAAATATATCCTAAAAGTATATATATTACAAATTACATTGGTTACCAAGTATATAATTTTAAAACCAACAAATCAAGAAGTAAAATCATTATCAAATGAGCATTTCACTGTTAAGAACTTCATCCTCATTATGATATTATGCAAAAAGAAAAAAAAAAAAAGAATTTTCCGGAAGGAAAACCACAGTAATTAAGCATAGAAGAAAAAAGAAAAGAAAAAAGAACCAGTTTAATCCAGAAAAAGGAAAAGAGGTTGAATGGTCTAGGTAATTCATTAAAGATGTACTTGGTAAGAGTCAGCAAAATTAGCTAATCAATAAGACTTTTCACACAGAGACATATTTGTAATATATAATTAAGGACATGAAAACCTCGATTGAAAGAGATGTTTTTGGGACAGGCTCTTACTACACATTTCTATCACCTCTTAGACCCATATTATCAACCATGATGTCAACTTAACAAAATCATTTGGGACATTGACAAGAAAGGCATAAATGGATTTTTATCTTGTTTAAATAATTCCGACCTCGTTTGATAACGATTTCACTCTCTATTTTTAAGTTGTTTATCTCCTAATCTCCTTATTTTCTTTTTAAACTTTTTTCCCTAACAACACTTTAAAATTTTTAGCCAAATTTATATTACTAACACAAAAATATTAGACTAATAATAATAACAAAATAGTTATCAAACCGATCATAAATTATAAAACCAATCATTAAAGAAAAAGATATCCTTTCTATAACGCGGGATTAGTTACTAATTAATTAACAATATAACCCAATAATTCAGAATAATTGAAACTAGAAGAAGAAGCTAAGGTTTGTTGCATTATTATTAGCAAATCTCAATTAGTATCTAACTATATATAAATCTCTCTCTTTCACTAGGTACATGATGGTATGGATGTCATGTGGGTTTCACGTGAACAAGTTATGTGTAGCACATGCATGTTAAAAGGGAACATAAAACACCTGCATGCACATATATAATATATACTCATGCATGCCTATATATATATATTAAGAATCTATATTATTATTATTATTGTTATTATTATTAAGGGTACGTAGGGTTTTGGATGGCCAAAGGGATATTAGGGGTTTTTTTTTTTTATTAATTTTAGGAGCAAGCTATTGTGCTCTTCCTCTGGTGATGCCTACGAAGCATGGGACAAGGAGGCCCAAAAGGAACATGACTTGGGCAAATTGCCTCTCTTCAGTTCACACCCCATTTTCTCGTACACTTGTAATATTTTCATTGGGTTTTGTATTCAAATTAATGCTGTTCAGATTTTGCCTTCTGATTCTTGTGTTTGAATGATTAGGATC